TATAATCAGTCTTCTGCTGTTTACTGACTATTGAAGCACCAGACGGCTGGTCGAAGCTAGAGAAGTAGAAATGGTCCGCTTGAAGCCGACTGCCCTTCATTTTAAAGTAGCTGTATGCATTGTATTTTCAAATCAAACGAAAACTCTATCTGTTTAGCCTTGAAAGAAACGTTACAAGACCTTTTCATCGTGCTGCCTTTGGTCCTGACACCCGTTGTAATGGGACTTTAAGAGTGCAGGCGGCAAGCTCACTTTACGGACGGTTAATTCTTTGGAAGTACTTTGGAACAAGGCCTGTTTGGAGGACTGACAGATTAAGCTAACCAGATACTGGGTTCTCTGCCGGATGGTTGATTTTTTATTCAGATCGACTAACAGGCATACATACTTCCGAGAGTAGTTTTTATTCTTGTGACATGCGGTTGTTTGTATTTTTTTAACCAAAAAACAACTATCAAATATCCTTTACAAGGTGGGACCTACTATTCCAATTTCTTAATTTCGGTTCAATAGCTGGGTACCATCCTACAGACTTTGTATAATAGAAAGAATTGTTTGAAACGACGGTGTTAATAACCAGATTTTAGCAGAATTTTGGTGAGTTAGAAGGGCCGACCGAGGATGATAGTAAAATGGCCTAGAACATACCTAAACCCTAGAACATTCAGTAACTACATGCGTGAAGATCCTCTAATGCTATCTACCTCAGATTTTTCAACAAATCTGTGAGATTTTTCATTCCCTACATTGAGAATATTGATGAAGCTCATGAGAATGCCTGGCGTCTGGAAGGCCGTCAGCGGTAGGTGCAAATTTTCATAAAGGAAACTACTCACAAGGTTGCTGAACATCATAAACGAGAGATTCAGTTAAGTCTCCCGTGAAAATCAAATTGATTTGGAAATGAGTGTATTTCTCCAAAGTATAATTATGATTAACAAGTTATTGTTACCAGTGATTTATTCCAATATTTTTAGGTGCAACGATGTCTGCTTGGGTTGTCTTGGGTGAGCTGGTAACAAGGGGCACTAGAGTATCAGCGGAACAGATACACCACCTAAGAGTTACGCGTCTAACCAGTGATTGTAACAACACTACCAGTTACAGTTTTAGTTTTGTCCACCATCCCTACATTAATTCAGTATCCTAACTCCGGATTTCACCAACTTGTGGACTTCTTCCGGAATAAATTGCTAAATTACGCTATTAGGATTAGGTGTACGAAATTGTCTCATATTATAACGTTAAATAAAGACAACTGAACATGGAAAGTAATGTTAACTACAGGAGGGAAATTGGACGGTGCTTTACTCCTCATGTGGCAAAGTTGTTCGCACCGATAGTGCGATTCACTGTCACAAATCAACTGTTTATTTCCTGTGAACAACAGCACAGAAAGAATCCCAGATTAACAAAAGTTAACACACGATTCATAAGGTTCTAAAAGCTTTTTCATTAGAGTAACTACTCACAAGGTGACTGAAAACTCCTTGACAGCTTGAGACCAGTTTCGTCTTTCTCGGGGCTCATCAGGCAGGCGCAGTTCCCGAGTTTCCGTCAACCTTATGTTCTACTTGAATCCACATTGAAAGGATCTCAAATATCGTACGAACTGAAACACGAGTAGGCCTTAGTGCAGCACATTCAATTGAAGAATATCACAAACGAGAGCTTCAGCTCAGTCTATTGTCAAAACCAAATTTGTTTCCAAATGAGTGTGTTTCTCGAAAACAGTCCAATTTGGGTTCAAGCAGAACACGCGGTTGAAGGAAACTCGGGGACTGCCCCCACCTGATGAGCCCCAACAAGGACAAAACCTGTCGTCGACTTTTGAAGAGTTTCCAGCAAACTTGTGAGTAGTTCTCTTCATGAAAATATACTTTGATATCTCGAGTATCATGCCAACTAAGACATGAGGTGGCCTATTTGCAGCATGTTGAGTTGAAGAGTATCATAAACAGGAGATTTATCAGAATCTTCCGTGAATACCCAGTTCATATGCAAATGAGTCTGTCGAGTTACTAGGAGCACCTCGACAGCCCACAAATGGTTTTGCCTTTCTTGGCGGAGAAAACCACTATAACCGGGTTCATTTGAATTCTCCGTCAAAACCAAATTCGTACCCCAGTTTACCGTTCCTATTGAGTGACAATGGGAAATCAGCTGGTAGGAAAATCCCAAGATTCCATGTGGTTTAGTGTCTACTTTGTGTGCACAAATGTGCTCTGAATCGAACTGTCTCTGTCTTCAGAATTCGAAGCTACCCGTCCAGATATCTTAGTCGTGCTCGGACGTACGGTGTGTTTCAACACACTTTCAACCTCTGGTCCAAAGTGATCGATCTGGACTTTGTGGAAGAGAAGGACTACTACAAGGAGGCGGATATTGTCATCCAATTCGGAGCCGGAAAGCATGGTGACTCGATACCGTTCGATGGAGAAGGTAGGTGTTGTGATGTTTGCCAGGCTTTTTATTCAAAAATTCGGAACACACTTCCCAAACGTGACATGCGGATATTTTCAAGCTTCTGTTTAGTTCCGTTTTCCAAACAGGTGGATATTTTAGGTGGTGACATCTGTGTGAACCCACCAGATTACAAAGTATGAAGTATTGTTCCATTCATCGGCCAAACTTTCGTATCATTGTGCTATAATCCCTTAGTGTAGAGTACGTTTAGGACTTCTTGGCGTTGATCGTTGCCTGTTCCGCTGAAATTGAAAAAAACGGCTCACCAGCTAAGTAGGAAAACCCAGATATGCTTTAACTCTGGCGTGAAAACCCGAAGAGTTGCTGCAAAGTCTTAGAATGAAAAAAGATATAAGAACACTGAGTTACTGAACTGTCCATATAAGGACGATGTGTTTACACCATGTGCCTCGTATCCTTGTTCACTGAAACTGAAAAACGATGCCGGATCCAACCACAGTAAACAACCGCTTGCTCGGCTTTGACTGTATCATATGCTGTCAATTAAACCATTAATCGATAGTAATTGACCGTACGGTGGGTTCCGGTCTGGCGGACGCCGTCTCATACCGGCAAACCGGTTGGCATGTGATTACACCCGTTCAGGTGTAGCGGTGAGAAAATTCAAGATCAACAAAAGACACTGACAACCTACAAGTTTTTTTGAAAAGTGTACGAGAACAAACAACTTTGTTCCAGAACAATCAGACTCTATACTTCCTTGATTAGCAAGACATATAAAGTCGTATGTTCAACAAAGTTCCTACCGCATACTAATCCAAAATTTGCTCCTGGTTGAGATTCCAGTCCTCTGTTTCGACGCAGTTGTTGTTTCGAAATTCCAGATGACTGTAGAGGCCGCCCCACGAACTCTGCGTAAAATGAACCCAGTGTTCAAAATTGCGAAGCAGTGCACACGTGTTGCAACCCCTCCAACAGATATCTGAATAAATTCCAATCACTCATTCGTACCGAAATTGGGTGGGACTAGTTTAATTAAAGCGTTTATTAGTCAGGAAGAAATCGTATTGGCACCACTGTACGTGTTTATCACTCTGAGTGATCACGTCCGACCTGGCGGGTGCCTTGCTTACATATACTACTTACAATCAATGAAAATTGATCAAACTTAGAACTGCGAGTTCGAATTTCTTCAACCATTTACGCCTCTAATTCCAGTTAAGGACAAAAAGTAGATTCGGGTTCAACTCCGCAGGACTAGTAACGAAATTTCAGACGCATTGCCTTGAGAAGCATCGGCAAAAACGGATCGTCCTGTGAGTCAGGTCGAATACAAAACGGGAAAACTTTTAACTGCGGGTTTACACTTGAATACACACGTCTTCCGCCATCCTGATGATAGCGTTGAAAGGAAGAAGGCCTTCGTTGCGGAGCTATTTATTAGAAAATGCCAACTGACCGGCTAGAGACCATTGAACAGGGAAGCGAAACTCTAATATGCATCTTAGTTCCAAAAACTGGACACAGATCTTCTCCCGAACGAGTTTTCTTAGAGATTAGTTGCCTCCACTCATTCGTCGGTCAAATCCAATCCAAGCAAATCTTATAAAGCGACTCCACGAATTCCGCAAAAGATCTCCCATTTTCAAGAGACACAAAGCACATACCACTCGCATGCCTCCCCACCAGTAGTGTCACCATTACAGCATGACCATCGATCACCATGAAACAAACGATATCTTAACCGACCAATGAAACCGTTAGACAGACGCTCAAACTCATGACTTGTCTTGTTCCTGTTCATCTTGTATGAACTACAATCTTTGCTCATCATACTGCCTGCACACACTCATGAGCCTTTCGATCATTCATATTTTTTTTTTCAGGTGGCGTTCTGGCGCATGCCTTCTACCCCACTCCGAACAACGTGTATTCGTTTGCCGGTGACGCTCACTTCGATGACGATGAAACTTGGAATGATGGGCCGCACAATGGTAGGTTACTGCATGTTTTATTCCCTATCTGTGGTCTCGTGTGCAGAGGGATAAGTTTACTCCGGCATCAAATGCGGCGGTACTGCTGACCTCCGAACAAGGTCGTTTCTTTGAATGCAACGCCACCTAGAGAACTACTAATCAGGAGCATGTTTTAAATGGGGCAAAATTTCTTTCTCTTTTTTTCGATAAATTGAGGAACCGATTAAAACACAAAGGAAGAGAATTGCACAATGTTTTAGTGAGTAGAATTTGCTCGAAAAATGCACCTGTTTTGGCATATCTGGACAGATTCTAGGTTTGAAGAGGGATAAACCGTGACCCCAGAAAGTTGTTCAGAGGACCTGATGAAATAAAACGAAGAAATCAGCCAATCGGCCAATCATAGTAAGGCTCACAAGGTCATGAACTAAGGAGAAGTTACTTTTTTTCTTGCGCATCATCATGAACCTCGTGAGTGGGCAATCGAACTTGGCGTACCTAGGCGACGAGTCTCGAACTGCTTCACTCTCTGCTTCGCGAGCTTCCACAGCACTAAAAGTGGGAACAACTGTTAACCAAATGCAACATTCTGCCTTCAGAATAGTTGTGGTCCTCGTCCTAGCATGTGTAGATCGCATAAATTTAGTGATGCATTCACAATCGTCCCCCGGGTGATCTCACGCCACACAAAGTTTGGAGTGTATACAAGCAAACAGGTATGTCATTGGTAAGTCTGAATCTTGGAGTGAAGAGCATAGAAGTCGGTGAGCTCGAACCGCTGACCTCTCCGTTACTGAACGGACGTCCCATCGGCTGAGTCACCCAGGACTATCGACACTTGTTAAACTTGGGCACCTGGAATTCACCAACGGTTGGCCACAACTAACACTAAGTTTAGAGCAATTATTATCTCTCTGATGGGTCCATTGTTTGAATACCATTCAGATAGCCAAAGACCCTTGCTTGGTGTAATTTCAAAAATATGCCTCCAAGTTATGATGAAAAATGGATCCCAGTAGTTGTATACTCTAGCCTGTTTTGCAACCTCTTTGAGGACTGCTCACCTAAGCATGCGTGCTGCACTGCCGCTCTTCAAGTACCACTTCTTTCTCAATTTAAGGAGTATTCCTTTTCAATGTAGCAACATTAGGCCATTTGGTCACACTGACTTTCCCTGGGTATCTATCACACATAATCTGATTTTCTCCCACAGAATACCGCAATTTGGTCTCTGTTGCCGCGCACGAGCTGGGACATAGCATGGGTCTGGGTCACTCGACAGTACCAACTGCCATCATGTATCCCTATTATATCGGTACATGGGATCGTGTCAAACTGGACGAGGACGATATTGTGGGAATGCAACAAATTTACGGTGAGTTATGAGCAGTACTCACCAGTTTCATCCAAGCAGTTTATCATAGGGAACCACTCGTTCTGAAACTACCCACCCCAAAGAAAGAGACTTTGAAAGACGCTGGCACCAATAGGACAGGTGATTTCCGGTTCTAAAACCAACAAGGTTATTGTAAATAATGTCTTATAATTAGTACGAGTTGTTTCAAAACAGGTGAGAACTGTCCACTTTTGTGAACAGATGGGATTTACCGTTATGTCACTATCGGCGTTTTGTAAAGCTTCTAATCTGCTAAGACTTCAGCGTGTTTTTTCTTCAATATAACCGACTGTGAATGCATTTTGATATTCTGTTGCACCTATCTGCAAGAATTTTGAGATAAAATGTGGCCAATGTACGAAGTGAATTTTTGTCTACCTTGGAAGTGAAGGATATGCCCAGTAAACAGGCAACTGGTATCATCAATGCCATAAGAATCAAGTCCCCAACTGACTACTCATAATGTTGATGAAAACTTCTCGACAGTTCACGACCGGTTTCGCTCTTCTTGGGGCTCATCAGATAGGCGCAGTCCCCGAGTCGGCATCAAAATTATGTTCTACTTGAACACAAATTGGACTGTTTCTGAGAAATACACTCATTTGCAAATCAATCTGGTTTTCACAGGAGACTCAACTGCATCTCTCGTTTAGGATATTCCACAACTGAATGTGCTGCACGCACGCCGCGTCATGTTTCGGTTGGCATGATATTCGATATATCGCAGCACATTTTCATCAAGGAAACTACTCACAAGTTTGCTGAAAACTCTTCGACAGCCCACGACCGGTTTCACTCTTCTTAGGGCTCATCAGGTAGACGCAAACCCCAAGTTTCCGTCAACCTGAACCCAGATTTTGACAAATACACTTTTCGCATACCAACTTGGCTTTCACGGGAAATTTACCCAGTTGAATCTCCCGTTTATGATGTTCTTGACGAAGCGGCTCACTTGAGCACATTAAATTGAACAAAACATCACGAACGAGAGATTCAGCTGGGTTCCAGGTGAGTCTCTCGAAAAACAAAATTAGTTTGCAAACGAGTGTACATTCGCTAATTTCGTGCAACTTGGCTTCAAGTAAAACATAAGTGTGACGGAACCTCGGGGACTGTGCTTACCTGATGAGCCCCAAGATGGGCGAGACCGGTCGTGGGATGTCGACGGATTTTCAGCAACCTTATGAGTAGTGCATTACAAATGAACGTGATATTCAGATGAGTTTTGGACACGTTTGTCTTGAAAATCAAATCAGTATTCAAATGAGGTTTTTTGTCAAATCTCTAACTATTTCACCACCTCTCAAAAATTCTCAAGGCTGTGTTTTATCTAAAATCCCATTGGGTTCAGGTTTGAACCAGACAGTCAGAAGACAAAATCGATATTGACTTGTCTGTACCAAATTATCAGAAACCAGAAAACGAGATTTTGATATTCTTTACATAACGAACCGGTCGTGTGACTGGAGGCAGTCAAATGAAAAGGCATACATGAATAGTCGAGTTAACCTAAAGTTTTCCTCGAGATTCTTGTTGATACACCATAAAGCCTTGGGCAGATTTGTTGAGAACAGAAGGGAGTGTGAGTTTTGCTGGCTGAAAATCGATTGACATGCTAAGGTCGAATCGGGTTGCTGACTTGTGATCAAAGATGCCTAAGGGTTACTAAAGTCGGTAGCTTACGAACGGGCAAATGTTCCGAGTTTTCGGGTTCTGGATCCCAAAGGAAATTTGTTTATTTCTCGCACTGAGGCACCTATTGGTTGTTCAAGCAGTCGGCTCACCTCAATTGTAGGTGTCGCCGCCTTACGATTTAATGAACCGCATAAAATCTCCTGTTTGTTCCAGGGTGTTTTTAGGCAACTGAAGCCCAATTCTTTGTTGTGCATAACTGGTGCGTTCGTGAGAGCCGGGTTGATTGGATGACATAATGCGCCTCTGCTTTATAGAGTTAAAACTTTAGAAGTGCATATCCTGTCGAGACCGGGTAAATGCTATGCTTCACAGATACTCCGAGCCCTGTTACGATACGTACGTCGAAATACGGGGGGTGGGGCAGTTACCAGTTTTCTCTCTCTGCAGGGTGATGTGAAATCCAAGTGAAGGCAACAATAGTTTTCAGCAAACTTGTGAGTAGTTTCCTTAACTAAATAATACTGCCTTTCCATTCAAAATGACCAGTGTATGATCAACACAGGGCTTCCAGTAAACTAGCACCGATGTGAGGTCATTCAAGTGTCGCTTTGTGGAAAATGGATCTCGTAGACTGTCGGAGGTCATTTCACCAACAGGGTGAATTCTGGAAACCAAGACCGCGAAAGAAGGCAGGAATAGCAGTAAATAAATATGTTGCGTATAAAATCTACAAATTGTTGCGGAGATATATACTGTTATCTAAGGACTCTGCATTTACCAAGCATTTACCACGCTTATCACCTTGGAATGTTCAGGTGAGTCTAGCAAATTCTTGTTGGGATATCTATCAGTTTCCTCGCTGACTGACCCCGGCATGTTAATCAAGCAAGACGCCGATTCAAGTTACACAGGTCTGGCCAAGATCTGTCGTAAAGTTACCCCAAGTTTGTCTTTTTAGTAAAACTGCACTACTGAGCAACCAACGGACTTCAGATGCCTGTGGGTCTTCGCAACGATTCGTCCGTCTTTGGAACTCAGATCAATATGAAAAACCCACGGCATTGATAGGTTTTTCCTTGTCTGATAATTGAAAATTTTGATCATTATTTAGGATTGAAATCATCTTATTGGTGCGTCAGTGAGTATAGTTCCAGGAACTTTGGCGCATTTCAAAACATACACGTTCTTGAATCTGAACTCTTGGAACTCTCGTAATGCAGTGGCAAGCTGATGAGCCCAAACCAGGTAGAAACCGGTCTTGAACTGTGGAAGAGTGCTCTGCAAACTTATGAACAGTGTGATTGTTCCAGACAAACGAGTGCTATCTAGCTATTGAATACTGGCCCGCGTATTGGTTTACAGTAAGCCACTCAATCCTGCACTGACGATGTCACCTCAATTGGTAATGAAACGTTTGCAATCTAACTGCCAAGCTCGGCGAACAGACCAACAACCAAGCAGCGCACCCGAGCTACCTACATTCCACAACATTGCTAAATTCGTTCAGAAACCTCAGACAAATGCTAGAACAGACTGCTTCACCCGATCGAGCACACTTTTACGAAAGTTTGTAAAAATTAACCTGAAGCATAGAGAGCACAAACATTAGGCGATTCTGTGTTTCTAGTAACTGCGTGAAACGGATCTTTGGGACCTTTCAATCCAAAGCGGAATTTAGGTGAATTTCGGTACCGGTCAGCATGAATCTACTGCAACCCAGCAACTTCAAGAACTATGTGGACCATGTTCACCAGAGAAAGCAAATATAAGCTTATCAGGTAGTGCAAACATTTTTTGGGGGATTTGGGAACCCATCGTTTTGGAAATACAGAACAATGGTGTCCACTCATCAAGTCAAAAAAGCTACAGTTTGAAGGTGATAACCTGGTGGATGCATGCACTTTTCACTGGCTCATGATTACCAGATTACCGATAACATGAAAACGAGATTTTCTCTACATCGGAGTGGCTTATCACGTGACTGAAACTGACTGACTTTTGAGATGTAGCGGTGATTCGGTGTGTAACTGCGGGAGAGCTGGGATACTGTCAGGTTGCCAAGGCCTACACAGGACTGGTCGACATGCTGGAGTTAGGTTCGAAAAACGGACTTTCCGGTCGATAATTTCGCGCCTTAACCACTCAGCTAGATCGAGCTGTGTTAAGAGGTTACANTGTTAAGTGGTTACAGACTAATCGGCCAATAAAAGGGGAGGTATGCGTGTAATGGCCAGAGTAACTGAACAGTCCTGTTTAATCTGGAACTTGAAAGTGTAGTTTAACTTGTGATAAACAGGCGTTGTGTGTTATTCTTTCGTCCACCGACTTTAATTTTCAGCAATCTTACACCTCCGGTAAGTATTCACATTCCTTTGGATACAAAGCAAAGAGGTGTTGTCCTTTTTGTCGTCCCTTCCTAAACCATTGAATGTTTACTTGTCACTTGTCTATCGGGTGATGCACTTTCTGTTGAGCGAGTGTCTGTCAGTCAGGCAGAAACTTTCGCTTATTGAAGACGTGTGTGGTCCCCCTGGCTTAGTCCGCGTCAGTTTCGTGTGGAACAACCCGAAACTGTCCTCAAATTTCCATAATTTAATGAAAATTGTTCACAGTGTGGGAAAATTTTGGAATTCATTAATAGAAATGTTTGTCTGTCGGTCAAACCAATCTATGTGGAAAAGTCTAGGAGCACTGTCTTATTCTTAATGGGAGTCATGAGCAGTGCGCATCTCACGAAACTCCAGACAGGCCCGAACTCGCAACTTCCCGGCATGTGGTTTAGACTCTTGAGCGGCTAATCGATAATGTGACTAACTCAATCTTAGAGGGAGAATAGAGCACCACTCATCGTGTGGCCTCGTGTTGACTTGCCCGTCGGGTGATTACTACTCAGATGGAAGTTAAACCAATAGGGTTAACCTTACCATTCATCTGAGCTACTTGTATACTGTTTGGGGAATCGGAGGATCTGAAAATTTTGTATGAGGGATCCAAATGACTTTGGAAAAGACGTCAGAACCGGGTAGGTTTTACAGGATTTCGTCCTCAAACGAAATCTCGTGGGGCCATGTACCACTTATCAAGTGATCTCATCGTGTATGGTAGGTCTAAGTGATTGCATTCATTTATTTGTCTTTTCGCGTAAAATTTAGACCAGTGTTGTACCGAATAACGCCTCGGTCATCCCAGATTAAACCAGAAGACGTTGAAGACCCCATCATCACCCATCAGACAGCTCGTAGTTGTTGAAGTGTAGCAAAGCATTCTAGTTGGCTGGATATGTCGTAAATGCATGAAAAACCAAGTGTGAGAAGAGTTCTGTTCAATTTATCGACCAATATGTAGGATCAAATTCTTGAGAAGTCAAATTTGAACCGCACCAGTACACTGAAATACTACAATAGCAGCATTAAGTATCACTTCAGAAACTGTCTATCCAGCACTGGTATCATTGTCCTCAGAACGACCCGTTCTCGCACTTTTAAAATTATTGATCTTTGGACTTGGTGACCAATCGGTGACTAGTCTTGCACAACTGAGGAGTTTAGACGAACAAGTAGTCTGCTTGGTCCGATAAGGTGTCAACATAGTCGAGAAATTCAACCAGTTGTAAATATCAATACTGTTTAACGTGACCTGCGAGCCTGGTTGCTCACCAGCTGAAAGTAAGCCAAAAGTTCCCCAAAAAGTGCTCTCATTTAGACGCAAAGCTTGCTTTGAAGTCATACTCAACCGAATCTACCTGAATCTCTCGTTCGGTTCAACTGAATGTGTTGCACCAGGCCGCCTAATATTTCATCGGGTACGATATTCGAGATATTGCAGTAGATTTTTTCGCTAGACGATACAAACTACTCATTGGGTTGCTGAAAACTTCTCGACGTCCCATCACAGGGTGGAGTTCGAGCTGGATTCAGTTGAGTAACCTGTAAAAACCAAATTTATGTGCTTTTGAGCGTTTGTCGAAAGTTGGTGCTACAAGTTGGTGCTACATGGTGCTCGTGTAATTGGTTTGTCATGGCAATCCTACCCTGAAAAACGGCGCCCTTAACCAGCTCACCAGAAAGTAGAAGAGGGATAGCAGTCTGGATTTTTATGCTGGTGATGGTCGAGCGCTTGGTGCAGTAAGCGAGACGTCTGGACACACTGACAGCTCAAAGATGTCTTTGACGAAGGATTTCATGATTGATATACCTTCAAAGAGATTGCACTTGACGTGAATCCACCTGAATCTCTCATTCGGTTCGACTGAATGTGCCGCACCAGGCCGTCTAATGTTTCATTGTGTACGATATTCAAGATATTGCAACAGATTTTTTGCTAGACGATACAAACTACTCATAGGGTTGCTGAAAACTTCTCGGCATCCCAACACTGAACCATCATAAAAGGGAGTTGGAGTTGGATTCAGTTGAGTAACCTGTAAAAACTAAATTGGTGTGCTTTTGAGAGTGTGTGTGTGTGTGTGTCGAAATCCATCTAACTTAGCTTCAAGTTGGTGCTACATGGTGCTCGTGTAATTGGTTTGTCATGGCAATCCTACCCTGAAAAACGGTGTCCTTGACCAACTCACCAGAAAGTAGAAGAGGGATAGCAATCTAGATTTTTATGCTGGTGATGGTCGAGCGCTTGGTGCAGTAAGCGAGACGGCTGGACACACTGACAGCTCAAAGATGTCTTTGACGAAGGAGTTCATGATTGATATACCTTCAAAGAGATTGCACTTGACGGAGGCAAGTGCCTTCACTAAACTAATGATCAAAGTGTCACGTCACCAGTCCACATTCATCAAAATATCAACAGGTTCGCTCGTGTGTCTCAGCTTTCTATCAGGTGACCACACCCATGATATAGAAAGTATATGGTCAGCTTCCGGGTTCATGGTTATTTATCGTACTATCATGTGTATTGTTAAATCATGCCATAACATATATGTGAATGCAGTATCAAATTTATGAGCACCCAGTGAATTAGTTTGTGGTCAGTTGACAATAATTTGATCCGCAGTTTACCCCGGTTTTTTAAACTGCGTTTATTGTACGACGGCCCCTCATCTTCCATTTACGGTGATATTCGAGAATCTGCAGTACAATGTTCATCAGCATCGTCATCATCATCATCAAAGACAGCAACATCAGTGTTGCCACT